AAAGGAATTCCAGTTGGGCCAAAACCCAATTGACAGGCTGCTAATAAAATTGTTAGTTCAGTAAAGACTATTGCATAGCTTGGTTTGATGCTATATCTCCAAAATTTCTCAGTACATTCGTAAAAGATGAACCAAAATATCTGGGGCCACTCCCTACTCTAGGATGTTTATACCTCACTGATTGTCTAGCATTAGCCAACTTCTCCTGAAAAAATGCCTCCATAGGGTCATTGTCAGAAAGATTCCTAATCCCTGCAGCCACCTTCCAACTCTCTTTATTCGCTACTCTTAACATGAAAGCCCTTGTAGTCACCACATCATGCACCTTGCCTATCAAATCCTAATCTTTATTGACTATCACATTATCCACATACCTCCCAATCTTACACTACTCATTATACTCAAATTGATTTCTGGCCTTATTAAAACTTTCTCTCGGCCAATGCTTACTCTCCTAACAACTATGACCCACCTGCACACTCCTTCTAATTTTCTCAACTGCTTTTCCTAACATTATTTGCACAGTTTTTTCTAAAGCCTTTCCATCACTATAAACTGCAAATTCAAAGACATCCACTCCTGCATCCTAACATTTCCTTTATTCATGGGTGCGGGTCAAAATCCCGACAAACAAAATCCAGACAGGTCATAATCCCGACAAAAAAATCCTGACAATCAAAAATCCCGACAAATCCCAACAATCAAAAAAAAAGTGTTCATTGAGCAATTTTACTATATAAAATCACCTATACCCTAACCCTAATCTAGGCGCACACCCTAACCCTAACCTATACACTCACCTAATCTTACTCTAATTTAAATAAATAATTTTTTGTTGTCAGGATTTGTTGGGATTTTTACTGTCAGGATTTTTTTGTTGGGATTATGACCTATTGGGATTTTGTTTGTTGGGATTTTGACCAGCACCCACATTTTTTATATACTGTATGCTTGAAATGCATCAAGAATGTAACCCCAATTTGAATGCATTGTCAATCTATCAACTATGTAACCACAGGCAGTGTTGTACATAGATATATATTCAAGCAAATTATTGGACATGGACAGTCCTTTGACACAATGTCCAATATCCATGTCCATGGACATATTCATATTTTTATATATTCATAAATATAGACATCTATATTTTTGTATATTCATGTCTATGGACAGTTTATGTCCATGTCCATTGACAATACTGACCGCAGGTATATCAACTTTGAAACTTTTGCCTAGCCATGGCAAAAAAAGTTACTATCACATGATTTTTCGAAGCTAGCCAATTAGATAACAAGATCAGGTGTAACATAAAAATTGTGTTCTTTATAGTTTTTTTTGAAAAATCGTTAATAACTCAAAATTTCACTTATAAAACCGCCTTTTGCATACTAATTAAAAAAATTCCTTGCTAAATTTTGGTATATAATATGCAATATTCTCAACCAAACTATAACTTTAATAATAAGATTTATTACTTTTTATTCTATTGGTTTGATTTTTGTTGATTGGCCAAAGTCACGTGATAGTAACTTTTTTTTGCCATGGCTAGGTGTTTATTTACTAGAATTAAAACAAACTGGCCTAACTCTAACCCTAACCTAACCCTAACCTAGGCCGAACACTTGTCATGTGATGTTGTAATGATCACAGAGTTAACTCTTCTTAAATATACCCAGTAAGTCCATTGCCAATTGAAAATTACTGTATATCGTAATAACGCGCAGGGTGTAATTATGAATTTCGGCCTAATTAAGCTTAATTAAGCTAAATTCAGCCATGTCTCAAAATAATGCCCGACCCGCTATTACGCATAAATACGGTACTTCCGGAATTAAGCATCTCTGGCCCGCATTATGCGAATTTTGGCCTGCATTACGTGCAAAAAAGAGGTGCTTAATTTCAGAAGTATATAGTACTATGTTTTTATATGATATGATGTTAAAAGTAATTTGAAAAAATTTAAGATTAAAAATATCCAGAGGTCATTATAAAGAAGCTCAACAAAAGAAGGTCAAATCTATTCTTATATTTTATTGGTCAAATTAATTTCGTCAGGAGTTTTGTCAGTCGTTGGCAGTTTCGTTAATCGTCAATAGGGTTGCATCGGTCCCAAACTGGGACCGATGCAAGGACTGGTCTGAACTGGTCCTTGCATCAATCCTTATAATGATAAGTAATTTTTTGCCCTGCGCATTTAGTTCTTTATCTTTATACGGTTGCTTGTATAATAATAACACTGTGTAAGTTAGGTGAAATCAAGATTGGGGTCTATATAAATAAGTATTGGTTTTTTTTTACTTTCACTAAGTTTTTTGTTAAGATTGTTAGCTCTCTTCATTCAATCTAAGAAACTGGCTTGTTCTAGCGACGGGTGCTAGACACAAAGTCGAGCAGAAAAATTCAAGAACAATGAACGATCTGATCATCAAGTTACTCAGATATACATTTTCGTCATGGACATGTCCTGTGACCATTGTCACGTGAAGGTCCAGTGACTCACAATATGTACCGCCTTGTGACTTTCGTTCACAAGCGGCTCAGTTCAAAGTGATAAATAATCTGGCTTAATCTGTTGTTAAATCGATAATAATCAATAATCAATAATCTATGCCACGCGTGGCTTAAATAAAAAAAATTTTATTTATTCTTTTAAGTTAGACTTATTGTCTTAATTGCAATAACAATAAGGTAAAATGGAAACTGAATCTTCTAAGAGCGCACAACCATACATCCTCCCTAAAAAAGAAGAGCCTAAAGAATTTGAACTTGATATAGATGTTGTTGACCCACATAATGGATATCCTATTACACAAATTGATTGTTCGCCTAAGATGAAGTATGTTGCTACATTAAGCGAATTTGATAAATCCGTGGTCTTGTGGTCTATCGATTCGAAAAGTCAAAGTTTGCAATATGAAAATACAAAATTAATCATAAATATCGATGTTGGACCGGAAACTTCAACGACATTTACAGTTTCAGATAATGGATTTGTTGCAATGAAACTTCGTAGTTCAAATCCTTATAATTTTGGTGAGTTAATTGAAATAAAAGTTGTCGTTATTATTTAAATTGAATTATAAGATTGACCAGATTTATTATGCCATTTATTAAGGAATTTACAACCTCAGAACAAAAACAACCGAAAAATCTCCTCTGCATTTCCCTTATTTACACAAGAATATTAGTCATTTATCCTTTATTAATAATGGAAATCTTGTGACGATCAGCACTAACGAACACAAAGCATGCATCCTTTATCCAAAAGAAAAAGATAATCGCGTCAAATGGATTTTCAAATCAATGATTGAACTGAAAAATATTAGCGCTTCAGATAAAATATTCATAACTCCCAAAGGGAAATTAATCTTTTTAAAAAAAGAGACTTACGAGATCACGATATGGAATTTAGAACCTTTATCGATTGAAGCACAAATTTTGTTGGATTGGAATTTAAATTTCGAGTGCGTTGGGTTAAGTGACGATGAAGAATTATTAGGAATATCTGCAAGTTCCGAATTACACGTAACGTATCTATACATTTTTTCTACAACAACCGGAATGAATTTATCAAAATGTAAGTTTCATCCAATTTAATGTATACTGACAATATAACGTAATCATTAATAGTAACTCAGATTTAGACAATTTGACCGGTGCTGATCACTTCACCGACCAAAAGTTTAATTAGCCGACATCACATAGGGTTAGGGTTAGCGTTTTATTAGTTGCAGGTATTTCTTTTTAGTAAATTGTCACCTGATGCGATGTCGGCTAAGTGAGCTGTCGGTGGAGTAAGGCGAATCCCAATTTGACATGTGATCACGTTATTTTGCAGTTACGATATTAGTGAAATTTAAGAACATGTTGTTATACTATAATAAATGTTTACTTATCATTATAGGCACTTATAGAGAATCAGTAATGATTGATGGAATCCATTTTATTGCTTCTGATTTTGGTGAACGTATACTTATCACATCGCATGTGCATGATAGCTTAGAAAGGGTTAAAATGGATCTTAATGTTCATATATTTCACAATGAAAACTTGAATTTCGATTATGGTTTAATGGATCCCTATACTTTAATGAATCCTGTCAGCGCTGATAAACTTTTTAGGCGTTTAAAGTCAAAAATTAAAACGCCATACATAATTAAATCAGACAGAATTATTTATGCAAATGATGGACAATTGTTTATTGAAAAATTGGTAAAACAATCGGTAAAAGATGATTGGATTAATTATTTGAGAAATGATTTGAATGATTATAACAAAATTTCGACACCTCCAGGTAAAAAAGACATTCTTATTTTTTTAAAAAACATTGGCAGTAAAAAATATATTCAAGGAGCAGAGACATATGAAGGGTATTTAACGAAATGGACCTTAGGTTGTAAAGATGTTACATTTACTCTTGAAGTATCTGAAGAAAAATCCGAAGTATCTAGAGAAAATAAGCGGGAAACAGTACATAAAAAAAAGCAACTAAAAGCAAATATGTATGTAAGAAAGTGTAAAGTTCTTAAAAATGATGATCTTGTCATGGTTACAGAAAAGTGTGTAATTCTCTGGACATTTAACCCACTGAAGGGTATAAGTGTGCATTATATTTGGGGTGTTGGTAAAGACATTTCAGACGAATATTGGGGAAAGATATTTAATGATCCTTCTTTGCCAGAAAGGTTTCTTCCGCAATCCGACTTCGATGGAATTATCAAAGAGGCTAATATTAAATCAGATAAAGATATCACCAATTTATATTATTTGTTATTAGACAATTATATTAAAGAAAAATTTTTTTTAGCACGTTTTGGTAAAATACTTATGCAGAGATTTTTAAGCTTAAATGAGAAGTGGTGGGTTGAAAAATTATGCGAGAATTGCATTAAAAAATGCTCGTATGATAAAGATAATGATAAAAATAATGACAAAGATAGATGTGATTTACAATCAAATATTCAGTCATTAAGCATTATTACTCAATTTTATTCAGAATTAATAGAAATGAATCCTGCAATTATATATAAATTTTTATCGAAGATGGCATTTGTGGTTCCTTCCGTTGAGAATTATAATGCATACTATAATACTTTTTCATCATCACCTCATCTTCGACATTATAGTTCATATTATAACTTTTATGAAACATTCCACATTAATAATGTATTTTTTACTATTTCTAAATATTGGCTTACCTTTAAAAATATTTATAAGACTTTTATTCAGAATCAACTAAAACCCTTTGAAGATTATTATAAACCTTTATTTTCTTTTATTCAGAATTACCTTATAAAACCATTTAAAAATTACCTTATAGTACCATTTAAAGATTATTATAGAACTAATTATTTGGATCACAATGCAACAATCAAATTATTATTTCCTTTACCCTATTTTGTTAATTATCCCAAAAATTTCAATACTATAGAAGAGTTATGGAAACCTAAACCTAGTTCCTTTGCAAAATCACTTGATTTAGAATTATACAGAACTTGGAATGGTGAAGCTCTTTTAAGCTTCAAGTGGAATACTTATGGAAGAAATTATTATTTATTTATCTGGATGATTTATACTATTTTTCTTTGTTGCTTTACTGTTGTAGTAACTTTGTCAAACGAAATTTCTTGGATACTTCAACAAATTCTTTTAATATTCACTATTATACTTGGCATCTGGCAGTTTATTTTTGAGTTTCGCCAGTTTACTTATTCACCTATACTTTATATTACTTCTCCTTGGAACTATGTTGGTAATTATATGGTTTGTCATTTGCTTACAGTATATTTTATTTTATACTGTACTTATTTTATTTATTTTATTTTAATATTTGCTATAAGATTTGGGGGCTTTTTTACTTCCAACTATAACTTCAATTATATGGCTTAAAGATTATACAGCACCAATTTGGACAATTATCTTTTCTACATTATTGCTTGAATTAAAATTTCTCACTTATTTCCGGGCGATTGCATATACTGGTGTATATTTTGCAACAATAATTGGTGTAGCTAAAAGGACCTTTTTATTTTTAGTTATATTATCATTTATTGTATTTGCTTTTGCACATTCTTTACACCTCTTACTAAGACCTACTACTGATATTTCTTTGGATAAACCAAATTATTCGGATGATCCAAATAATCCTTGGAATTTGGTAACAAAGTACTATACTGTAAATTCGGATGGTTCTGTCAGTAACGACCCTTTTCTTATTGAGCCACCAAATGCAAGTACAAATATGTTTTCAACACTAATATCGGCAATTTTGGCTGTTTATATTATGCTTACTGGTAATAATCTAGATCAAATCGTACTTGGTAAAAATCTTTCTCTATAAAATACTAAGTTTTTCTTTAATTATAATATTCAATAGGAGATACTAGTTCTTTGTCCCCTTGGGCTTTAAATGAGGATATAACATTAGCTATTTTAATAGTTATATTTTCTTTTTTTACAACAATTTATTTAATGAATTTGTTTATCGGGCTACTTAGTGATGAAATAAATGTGTCTACCAGCAAGGAATTCTTTTTAATTCAAAGGGCTGAGGTTGGTCTATTTGGAATTATTATATTTATAATACAGTATCTTAATGTATACAGTACTCATTCAAGATTGGTATAGTTTATTAAGTTGGTATATAACAATGAATTAGCTGTGCTAAACTATATATGCTAAAATCACTTAGTATGCCAAATTATCTAATCATGCTTTAAGATAATGTCAAATATAAATTAAAAATTATTGAAATGATATTATTTTGCTATATAATATTTTAAGACTTTTATTTTGTAAATTACAGTATTCAAAAATTAATAAACTCAAGTTTATTAATATTTTTATAGGTTTTAACTGAAATAGAATTATTTTACTTGTTACCATATCAAAGAAGAAAATATAACTGGTTTCCGAATATTATGTAAGTATATTATAATTGATTAATTAATTAAATATAATCCATTAAATAATTTTGATTATATATTATTTTTTCTACTTAGTTTTTATGAAGTACATGTACATAAACTTCGTGATCTAATTAATGATATTCAAAATGGTAAATGGGCAACTTTAGAGAAACCTTATGTTCCTCCTCCTTTATTTTTAGAATTTATTTATACAGAAGATGAATCTGAAATCAGTCAAATTAAAAAAAGATTAGAAGATTTAACTAACGATGAATCTGAAATCAGTCAAATTAAAAAAAGGTTGGAAGATTTAACTAACGATGAATCTGAAATTAGACAGATTAAAAAAAGGGTGGATGATTTAACTAGTAATAACTCTGAAATTAAAAAAAGATTAGAAGATTTAACTAATGATGAATCTGAAATTAGACAGATTAAAAAAAGGGTGGATGATTTAACTAGCGATAATTCTGAAATTAGTCAAATTAAAAAAGGGTTAGAAGATTTAGCTAACTTATTTGTTGATTTCAAAGATTTCAAAAATGAGGTTATATCAAAATTAAACGAATTAAAGCCAAGTTAGGTTATAAAAATTGGTTTATTTATACAACTTGTTTTGTTATTTTTATTTAAATAAAATTTAAAATTTTAACTAAAACGTAAAAACAAAACAAATTGAACATAATTTAGTAAATATATATGTTAGATCTGTCCAGAAAGATTATCAAATTCTTTGGTATTCACCTAGTGCAGTGTTCATTATTTATCTTCCTAATTTTGAAAACTTTAATGCAAGATTCATCTGTACTTTTTTTTCTTAAATAATATTGTCATGAAATATTTATTTTTTTAAATAATATTGGCATGAAGTATTTTTTTAAAAATAATATTGTCATGAAGTATTTTTTTAATAAAGCACATTTTAAGAAAAATATCAAACCTAAAATTTTTATTATGTCTATTATGAATATGTTGGCTTTAATAAAATTGAAAGGTAAATATGGGCTAGGTATTGCAAAAAAGGACCAAATTGAAAAAACATGTTTATGTTATAAATCTTATTATTCTCGCTCGGATCTCTTTATTAGACATTTTGGAGATACATGATGGGAGTAGTGCTCCACTTCATCACTTTCTCTTCTATTATAACATATTATGCTCAATAATAACTTTATGTCTTCGTGGTTGTAATCACGTGGTGAAGAATAAATGATGATCGAAAGTATGGGCTCACTCTTATAGCGTGGCGCAGTCTACTTTTAATAAGGCAGCTAGTTCGAGCCCACGCAATGGTGCGGTGCATTCAACTCGTTAACACATGACAACATTTTAATTTTATTTTTATGAGTTCTAAATATAAAATATCAACTAACTTGCCAAATACTTTTGATCAACCTGTCCTGTATCAGTGATGGTAAATGACTGGTCATTTGCAAAATCTTCAAATGACCTCAAATGACCTCAAATGACCCCAAAATGACCAGTCATTATCGGTCATCTCAATTTGGAAATTACTTGTGACCAAATGACCATGGTCATTCAGAATTGACAGGGGTCATTTGAGGGTTATTTAGTCTATAGGTTTTGAAATAGGCTGGGTTAGGCTAGGTATTTTACACTTGGGCCCAAGCTCAGTAAAAATTTATATGCCCGACCCAAGTCAGGAATGGTAAATGATCCGGTCGTTTGATCGAAATTTAAATGACCCAAAGCATCAAATCATGACAAGATCATTAAGCTCATTTACGTAGGTCATTTGCATATAAAATAATTTATTGATCGAATTGCCCATATAAAAAGTTATTAACCCTTTATTAATACGTATATATATAGCTACGATTATCGATTAATTCAAAGTCTTACTAAGTCAATTAATATTATAAATTGAAACTCAACTTTCGTATAAATGTAAAGCGCGGAAGTGAATTAATAAAGCTTTTCAGTTTATATGAAAATTTCAGAATATATGCAATTTACTAATTGACATGGTAAAATTTTGACTTTAATATATAGCTACGATTATCGATTATATTTTAATTTTGTTTGGCGGCAAATTCTGATTGGCAAAATAGCAATAGAATATCAATTAACACATGTTAAATCTAATCTCGAAATGACCCAATGACTAGTCATTTGTCATTTGGGTCATTTACCATTGCTGACATGTATCGGTATTGTATAATTTTGGCCGAAATTTAATTTTTAATTACTAGCCACATTTTTTTGTTTCACTATTATATAGTAAGATATATAAAAATTTATTCATGACATTTATCATAAAAATTTTAACTTGTATAATGATGAATGTTGATATTAGATCACTCTGTACTATGGATATTTTACAAAGGTACATCAATATAATATTGGGAGATAGCTCAACATCAAGAAAAACAGAAACTCTGTTGAGATATCAAAGAAAGAAGAAAGAAAAGCACTATTAGATGCACCCTAGGAAAATGAAAGGGAATGTTGGGCACATGACCGAAATCCTTATGTCTCTGTCATATGACCTATGAAACTTGGGAAGGTTTAAACTGTGAGGAAAGCTTACAGTTTTTCAATAAGTCCTCAAAGCAGCATAATAGCGGGGTGTGTGTAGGAACAGATTGATGTCTTGGATATTTTCCGATGACAGCAAAAAAAAAAAAAATGTTGGAGATTGCTATGATGAAGGAATCGAAGTTGAAAAGAACGAAAAGAAGGCATTTGAATATTATAAAAAGCTACAATGCGGGGTAATACCAAGAGGAAAAAAGAAGGTTGGATATTGCTATAAAAATGTAATCGGAGTCAAAAATGGACCCATTCAAAAAAAAAAAAAAAATCTGCAGCGATGAGTGATGCTAATTAAGTAAATAAAGTCAGAAATTACCACTTTTGAAGGAAGCAGAGTAAAAAAAAAAAAAAAAAAAACAAAGTCGAAAAGGACAAAGCAAGCATCTAAAAAGAGAGTATTCGAATATTAAAGAAAATCGGCAATGGGAATTAATGATGGAATAAATAAGTTGGGTATAAAAAATAACAACAACAACAATAATAATAATAATAAGGCATACAGATGTGTATATTTGTGTGTATGAGGAGGCAGGTGTGTACACCCCAAACTGCTCTCAAATTAAGGTTTAGAGGTAATGGTATGTGATATAGTACAGAGCATTGTTGTGTGTGATAGATTGAAGTGACTGTGTACACCCACACCGTTCTTAAGTAATGGTGTGGTATACTATTGTTGGGAAAGAAAACGAACGTGCATGTTCGTGTAGGGGTATAAATAAGACATGTGAACGCATATGTTTGTGTAGGTATGAGTAAGGTGGGTGTGTATACCCCACACCACTTTCAAATTAAGAGACGCTTAGGGACAGGTTGCTGAATCTTGGGTAGGTAGGATTGCAACTGCTCCCTGACATTAAGACAGAAAAGCTGTTAGTGTTTGTGCTCGGGAAAAAAAAAAAAAAAAAAAAAGGTGATGCTCAGAGACATGTTACAGGTTGTGTAACTGCTTTCTGACATCAAGTATATGTGCAAAATTAAGGCACAAAAACGTGTATGTCTGTATAAGTAATACACGAACATGTTCGTTTGTGTAAGATGTAGACAAAAAAAAAAAAAATTTGAACGTGTAAAAGAAGAAGACACTTAGGGACAGGTTGCTGGTTTTGGGTAGGTAGGTTTGCAACTGCTCCCTGACATTGAGACAAGAAAGCTGTTAATGTTTGTGTCTGGAAAAAAAAAAAAAAAGTGATGCTCAGAGACATGTTATAGGTCGTGTGGTTGTGTAACTGCTTCCTGAAATCAAGAACCCGGGTTCATATATATTATATGAACGCAGGTATGTAAAACATTCTCAAATAAGTTAGGAGATCTAGGAGAGTTGATAGTGTTGGGCAGGATGGCATGTGAGACAGTTGTTGTTAAAGAGTAGTGATATATGAAGAAATTGAAAAAAAAGAAAAGGGGGGAAGTGTGAAGAATAAGAAATGCTTAGGAACGAGTTGCTAGCCTTAGGTAGGTGGGCTCGCAACTGATCTCTAACGTTTAAATATGTATTGTTCATGTATGGGTATTGAGGAAGCATGTGGCCCGAGAGATGCAAAAAAAAAAAAAAAAACCTTCTCGATTCTTGGCAACAATCCCATATTGTACTACATAGATGTATTTGTTAAAAGGACGTGACTTGGGTATGGGAGGAAGGGGCACATGACGAGCAATAATAATGGATTTTTGTGAGGTTGGACTTGTTGGAATCGCCTCTTCAAGTCGGTCATTTTATTGGTAAAATTATCAAAAACGGGCTGGTATATCAAAAGTTATTCATTGTTTAATGTTAATTAATTTTAAAATTGCTTTGCACAGCTTATTTTAGTTAAATTATGATATTATTAATATATCAAGAAGTATTGGTCAAAATCACATGATTTCAGTACCATTCGATTCGTCTCAATGAGACAAATCGAATGGTATCAAAATCATTCGATTATGATCAATAGAACTCAATAGGACATGAAAAAATAGTATGTGCACTATAACAGATACTTGCGTTGTACTTTATCTTTTTAATTTGTATTTTTAATCAATAATAACTTATAATCTAGTGGTTAGAATTGAATTATTTTGGTACCATTTGATTCGTCTTGACGAGACGAATCAAATGGTACCAAAATCATTCAATTCGTACCGATATATCATGTGTTATTAGCTAAAATACATATTGCGCCATAATACCCATATATACTATATATCTCTTTATTGCTCTAAAGTAAGATCCAATTGTTTTAAAGATTTTAGGCCATACAAACTTAATAAATCGGTTCTCATAACCCGGCCGGGTCAAAATTTCCAAAACTCTAAAAAAAAATTTCAAGTATACTTACTATCCGGGTGAGTTTTTTAAAAAAAATCTAAAAAAATTTTATATGTTTTTTATATATAAAATTTTTTGAAAATAAAATTAAAAGCCGGGTTGCCGGGTCACTTTTAAAAATTTTATGTTATGAGAACCGATTTATTAAGTTTGTATGGCCTTAAAGTAAAAAGTAAATTTATTAAATATTTGTTTGTAATTTATAACCAATTTATAGTATTTATTATAATTTAAGTAGAATAAAAATTATTTTACAAAATTCGAGGCAAATTTGTCCCGAATTTACATACAGATTAAGGGATAACCTGAAATCGATAAAATGAATTGGTGGCAAATAATTTTAACATATTTATAAATTTTTATTTAAAAGAGTTTGAATTCAGGACCATTGACGATAACAACCAGATTTTCATTCAACCTCAACAACATACAACAAGTAAATCTCGATTAAGAAACCCTCGATATAAGAAAGTTCCAATTAAAAAAAAGATCTTGATACAAGAAAATCTCGATATAAGAAAGCTTTTGATTGGACCCAGCAACTTTCTTATATCAAGATACACTTGTATTGATATTAATATAAAATGTCTCTTTCATGGAATGCTGCCTGACTTTCGTATGCTTATATCAATATAAAATCCTCTTATTATAGATCTTTTATAAGAGTTTATATAATTTGAATTAAGAACTCAATATTTCGTAAAGGTTGCCTTCTACTA